TTCTGCCTCCAACTGATAAGAAAACACATTGTATATTACTCTCCCTCACAGTATAATGTAAATTATTATAGTTCATTAGTAGACTATTATATACACACCATCTCAATTTTAAGTACAGTATGTTTTATTTAAACCTTGCACCTCACCTCCTCCTCCTTCCTGTCCTCTAGTGTCTTCTTTTTCATGAGTGGTCTTTGCACGTGTGATGTTAGCGCTCCCTGTGGTGTTTAATGTTTTAGTAAGGTACATTGTCTCTCCTTTCCCTCTTTTATTGTACAGTTTCATTTTGATGTGGAGAGAGATGCACGCTTATCTCGTTACATTGTGACAAAATATACCCCATAAAGTGGGTGTCTGTTTCTTTCTCCCTCCACTGCTAAAAGAGCTGATTGCTTCAGCTAGCGACCCATGTTGCTATAACACATTTTAAAAAAGGCCATTTATGCCACTTGAAACTTAAACTGGAGTTGCATAAACAGAACACACAATGGTGTAGACTCTGGTTACATCATTTATTTCCAATTATTATTGATGGCCTTTCATAACTTCTCATGGCTCTACTTTGCTCTGTCACTTGTGAGCTATGAGGTCATCAATAACTCATGAAAATAAATGTCTTATTGATACTCAACCCAGTGCATATCCAATATTTTGTTACACATACACACATATACTGCAAACCATAGGGAAAAGACTTGTGGTGTTATTGCTTTTATCTTTTAAAAACGATGACTTTTAAGTAGCAAGGTGGTGGTGGTTGTTTCCCCCCCCCCCCAATGGCATTTCACAAAGATATCTCACTAATTTATTTATAAGGGTAAGTCTTCAGAACAAGGTAGCATTACCATGCTGGCCTAGTGGTGCCTCTATACACAAGTACATTTATAATTGATGAAATGGTCTATAGTGTTGTGGCTAGAATAAACTTAAGGTCAAATCTCTGGGAGAACAAATCTTGCCATTATTCTTGATGAGAAATAAATACGTGCAGGAACTAAAAAGTGCTGAAAGAGAATAAAATCCAATGTATAAAGGCATTTTGAACAATTCATTCCTAAATGAAAGTGCTTTTTCTTAGTTTTTCTTCATTGCCTTGATCTTCCTAAAACTGTTGTTGGGGCAGGTTAATGATTGACCTTTGAGGGAACCACATACCACTCTTTGTTCCCTAGCAGTCAGGATCTTGCAGAGGCTAGAAACCTTTGAGGGAGAGAATAGGATTAAACTGCTGTATGAAGTCCAGTGCAGGTGATGGTCAATGGGAGCTGAGAAATGAGTTTCTCGGGACATTTCCACCCTCCTTCATCAGAAGGAGTTTATTTCATTTATTGTGGTTACCTGTTGGAGCTAGCTGACTGTCAATGATTGTGCTCTGATTAATTTTCTTAAGTATAGTCATTAAAATATCAAAAAACTTTTAAACCATACAAAGTGAATGAACAAATCATTTAGATTTAAGTTTCAAATTGATCACTAATGAAAAAGCTCCTTCCTGTATATTCTAACTTGATTCTCACATTCTCACATTTACATAATTGTTTACTTGCCATTCTCAAATTCCAAAGATGTAAAGACTCAGTCCTGCAAAGCTTTGCTCACATGAACGGTCTCAGGTAAGCAAGGGTTTGCAGGATTAGTTCCTCAGGCCCTGATTCTCCAAATACATGCTTAGCTTTACGTATGTGAGTACTACTCATGATTAAACACATGCATAAATGTTTGCAGGATCTGAGCCTTTTAGACTGCAAACTCTTCAAGTCTGTAACTTTGGCCTTGTATACAAACAGAAGTTGCACCAGTTTAATTTAAATTAGTTTAAGAACAAAGTTAGTTAAATCAGTGTACACATCAGTGTGAACATAAGAATGACCATACTGGGTCAGTCCAAAGGTCCATCTAGCCCAGCCCAGTATCCTGTCTCCCGACAGCAGCCAATGCCAGGTGCCCCAGAGGGAATGAACAGAACAAGTAATCTTCAAGTGATCCATCCCCTGTCACCCATTCCCAGCTTCTGGCAAACAGAGGCTAGGAACAGCATCCCTGTCCATCCTGGCTAATAGCCATTGATGGACCTATCCTCCATGAACTTATCTAGTTCTTTTTTGTACCCTGTTATAGTAAAGGCCTTCACAACATCTTCTGACAAGGAGTTCCACAGGTTGACTGTGCGTTGTGTGAAAAAATACTTCTTTTTGTTTGTGTGCGGACATTCTTATATGTTTTAAAAGTGGCTTATACTTTAACTGCTATAAGCTACATTTAAATTGATTTAAGAGGGTCCACACAGAGTTGTACTGGTTTAACTAAGTCAGTTTAGAACAGGGGTCTCAAACATGTGGCCCGCGAGCCCTTCGCAGCCCCCCCGTCCTCCCCCAGTGTTTACCAGAGCGGCCAGACGAGCACCGGGAGCAGGGCAGGCTCCCTGCCTGCCTGCCCTCCCCTGCACAGCTCCAGGAAGAGGCTGGAACGTGCGGAAGGGGGGGCGGAGGGGCTGTGTGTGGCTGTTACTTTAGGCAGCGCCCCCAGCAGCTCCCATTGGCCGGGAACGGGGAACCGCGGCCAATGGGAGCTGCTGGAGGCAGTGCCTCAAGCAACAGAAATGCACAGCCCCTCCGCCCCCCCTTCCCCACGTTCCAGCCTCTTGCGGGGGCAGGGCAGACAGGCAGGCAGGCAGGGAGCCTGCCCTGCCCCCGGTACACGCCGGGCCAGATCCTGCCCCCCGAACCCCTCCTGCAGCTGAACCCCCTGCCCTGAACCCCCTGCCGCACCCTGCACCCCTCTTGCACCCCAACCCCC